GAAAACAGGCAACGAAATATTGGGCATGCGCAGTAATATTTATACAACATTCAAATTTTCGTGGTTCAGTCAAATTGAGGTGCTGAACTATGTGGTCGATATTGCTCTGTTCTTCCTGGAGATATTCCAGAAGAAGAAGATTCTGTTGTAAGCCCGACAGCAGGGTGAGTAGCATGAGCAGCAACCATTCAACACAGTACGGCGCCATTGTTGTTGTGATACTTTGTCGAGCATGCGTGTTTAGAGGCGACGCTATGACGCATGCATGTAAAAAAAAATGGCTGGTTGGTTGACCTTTGATGACCTCTAGAAACATCTCTTTATATCTTTAAAATGAAAGCAGCACAAATGGATATTTCTGCTGCACAAACGTTTGACACTAATTTTGTCTAATTTGAAGAAGTTGGTTGACCTTTTGACCTTTACATTTCCATTAATATCTTCAAAGCCAAAGCAGCACAAACGAAAATTTTTGCTGCACAAACGGAGCTGAGTTAATTGACACCCATTTTGTCTGATTTGAAGAAGGTGGGGGGGCCACTTCACTCAGGTCACCGTCGGTCATGGATGCACCTCTGAGTGAATCTCCTGCAGGAGCGTCGCCGCTGTGGGATGGCGCCATAATCCCTCTGAGGCAGGGCGGCACACACCGACTCGCTCCTACTGCTGAGGTGGAAACTATCAGCACCCAGCTTCTGAACCCCCCCCCCTGTGTAAAAAGCAATGCATACTGAACGGATTTATCCGACTATCTGCTCGCTCTGCGTGGCGTGTCGCCACCACCTGCTCAGCAGCAGAAAAATAAAGTCTGGTTTAAGTTTTTGTTTATCTTCTGGGCTCCGCAGACGTTCCTCCATATATCCGTTAGATTACGGATGACGGATAGAGCCGGACCCGGCTGTGACGGCCCGGACCGACCCAGCTGCCTCCGAGGTTCTGGTGTGTGTCTGTGTTTGTTAAAGAGCTCGCAGGGCGGGGAGGAGCGTGGATGAGAAGAAAGGCAGAATAAAGAGGAAATAAATCATTTGGTTCCTTGATTGCGTTTCACTCCTCCAAACTGCTGCTGTGCAGCCAATTTTCCCCAGATTCAGGAATGATTTATGGAAACGTTTCACTTCTCTGGCCTCTGTTGACTCGTGTAGATTAACTCCACCAATGAAATCCAGTTTTGTGGAGTGAATATTTATTTCTAAAAGTAATTCTGTCCTCATCGGGCGCGTATGAAGCTTTTTTTACTCTGTCTCACTGTTATTTAATCAACGCTTCTCTTTTCTTTTTTTTCTTTTGCAGAACCAGACGTTGTGCAAAGGCCTCAATGAGCTGCAGAACGGTCAGGTAGGTGGAAGGCTGCTCTCCTCCTCCGTTAGATCAACATCCATCCAGGATTCAGGCTGGGGGGAGAATTTTCCCAACTCATTTAGGGAAACTTTGCACATTTATTGTTGCACGAAACGTTTAAGTAACGTTTAAAAACCAGATTTTATGACTCAGACTTCATCAGTTTAAACTGATGTTGGTTCATGTTTTCATTGAGGGGATTTACTTATTTTTCGAAGTATAAATCTGCTTTATAACCATAAACCTTAATGGTAAAAAAAAAAAACTCTGTATTCTGTATTTTTAATCCCCAGTAGAAAAACTGGATCAGCTGAATCCTGTATCTTGGGCTGCGATCCGTTTTAGCTGCTGAGTGGATCATCATTTAGAATCGGATAATTTACGATCCGATCAGTCCTGAGAAATCACGTAACTGTAATGATACGGGGGAATATCGCCATAATTTCACAACTTTAATAAACTCTCATTACCTGCATGCATCATAATAGACGGTAATGGTTACTGGCAGCTATAGGGGGTAAAACGTGTCGCCTCTGAAATCCGTTTCATGTCAAACAACCTTCTGCAGATATTATAAAGGCCCAGCTGAGGAAGACGAGGGTACATCTCTGTCCTTACCTGGATTATAGAGGATCTTTAAGACACTTTAAGGTGTGTTAAGGAAATAAAGGGACACAAAAATGGCCTTAAATTCTTTGGATCTCTAATTTAAACTGATTTTTTGGAATATATTACATCCTGAAGTGCAGGGATTGGATAAACACTGGATAGTAGGATTATTCAGACCAACCATCAGTCTTTAAACCTTTATAATTTGATAGAACGGCTCTTTAATGGTGCTTTGGATAGGTCTGCGGTTCATTTCTCTGCAGTGACTCTCAGCTGTGGTCACTGCAGGGGAATGCTGAGCAGCTCGTCGGGCTGCAGGGTGAAAGAAAGGGAGGAAAAGTAAAAGGATTCATTATCCGTCAGTTTAATTTCAGCACTGCCATTCATTAGGCGGTGGAAGTCGATTCCGGCGTTGCGTTGCGGCTGCGTTGCTTTCTGCAGGAGAGGGGAAACCTCATTAAAACAAAGTCTGTGATGGGTGGATAATTGTTGCAGAGCATCAGTGTGTGTAATTAATGCTGGATCGGTTCTACAGGTTGATGCTAAATATGCATTTTATCTTCTCAGCTGGTTAAAGTAGAATTATTATATAGTTTTGCTTACAACCGGCGTGTTTATATCAGCTCATTACTGCTGCTGTTAACTTAAGGAGGTAATTAAAAAACGCTGCTTTAGTCTAACGGCAGAAACAATGAAGATGGGCAGAGCTTTGCTCAGAAAGGAAACAGAAAATCCCCGCTGGTGCCGTTTGTTTAGATGAAAACGGCGGATTAATAAGAAGTCAGGCAGTTTGCAGGTTCTCCGACTCGTTCCAAGATCCTCCAGCATCCGTAGAGCCAAGAGCACCTTCCTTTGTTTTCCTCCCTCAGGTATAATTAGACCCAATCAGGCAGATCAATTCTCAGCACCATAATGTGACAAAGAGAGGAGCTGTTAAATGATTCCCTGGAGAGTTTCAGGAGGTTGTTCATTGTTTAAGATTCGCTCTGAATCAGTGGAGGCAGACGGATCTGGTCAGGTGCCAAAAACAACTCTGACTGACCAGCTTCAGGGTCAGACTCGCTCTGACTCTCCTACAGATGTTGCTGCTGCGGTTATTATCAGCTGATTCACACTTTAATTAGAAAACCTTAAATTGTCACAACGACCTGGTTTAGCTGAAGGACTGAGTGCTTGTTGTTTTCCTCCCGTTTTCATTCCTGTAAGTAGGGCAGGATACGGCTAAAACTTTTATAACAATAGTTGTTTTTTTTTTACTTCAGTCGATATAATTCTGATATAAACGATAAATCCTCAGCCAGGGACGCCCACAGCCGATGCCTTTACAAAGCAGTAACCGATGGAAACGCTGGAAAAGAAAATGGATCGTGAGCGAATCTGAGGAGGTACTAAAGCATCAAAGGAGCAGAAGTGACAGAAATGATATGGGCTCCGTTAGTTTATAAGTATCCTATAAACTCTTGTCTCTTTAGAAATTGGTTTATGGTTTGATATCCATTTAGTTGAGTTTAAAATATAATCAGATTTTCATGATTTTAAGGTAGAATAGCTTTAAAATCAATCCTGGAATCAGTTTAAGATCCATTATGATCAGTGATTTTAGCCCGTCTGCAGCACAACTCTTCACTTTGTCTGTTTTTAATAATTACTATTTATAGAAACAAATTATAGCAGTTTTTCCAAAAATCCAAGCTATAGATTAAAGCCTCCAGTGTTTGTTTGGATGATGTTTGGTCTCTTCATGTGGAGGACGGCGCCTGTTTTAGGAAGAAACGACTGATGGCTACCTGCTATGAGCAAATTAAATATCGACTCCATGTATTGATGTTGGGAACTAATTCAAAGTGATTTCAGATGAGCAGTAATGGTGGGGGCGGAGCCTCAGGGGTGGGGTTCAAATCACTTCAAACTGCTCGTTAGGCAGAAATCTAAAGATTAATTTTTTTACTTTTAAGATTCAATAGAGATCAAACATTAATCTGGTGGCTGTTACGATTTACTTTTTAATTAATATATTGTTCACAAGTGAAATGCCAGAGTTAAAAGACATTTATGCAAAAAAGCTGCACATTTTTCCACATTTTGTGAGAAAATTAAGAAATGAAAAACTTTTATCACCTTTGCGACGAAGTTAATGTTCTCAGTAGCGCTAGTCTGTTGCCTCTAATGTGCCTTCTAGTTTTTATTATAAAAGTTTTAATGTTAAGTTTTTACTTAATCTTCCCAAAATGAGGCATTTTTCTTAAAATTAAGAAATTTAAATTATCATAATTTCATATTGAGGCATCCAAAATCCGAATTTTAGGTGTAGAAATCTAAAAATGTTATAAATGTTGCTATTCCAGTAAGAAAATTTCAAAGTATTTCAACGGGAAATTGAGTAAACCTGGAGGTTTTCTTCCCGTTTGTCCTGATTTTATTTGGTCTAAAGTTACCTGGAGTGTAAACAGTTTGGATGAAACCAGACAGGAAAGGATGCGGTTTAGGAAATGACGGCTTACATCCCGCTGAGATGATGGCTGCAGCCATCAGATGCACAGATAAGGGGAGAGGAAGAAATGGAAGGAAATAACGGGAAGACCCTGTGGTCTTCCAACATAATCTCCCTCCTGTAAGCTCCTGAGGTTTTTCTTTTTCTCTCCTCTTGCAGCTTAGAGTGAAAAAACTAATCTTAGGCGCCCCGCTGCAGAAGTGGAAAGTGTTCACTTCACATCCACTTGGCCAATATTTACCTGCTGGCTCAAAGCAAACAGCTGATACTGGAGGCTGTCAGAGTCAGTGAGGCGAGGAGGAGGAGACGGAGATAACGGCAGAACGGCTGCAGAAAAATGGAGCTTCATACCTGCTAAACAAATAAAGATAAGCTGCCAGATGGATTCAAAGGGCAAACGCAGAGTTGGGGGAAATTGATCCGGAGCAGAAATGAACCATTAATGCTCCTCAGTGGTTCCTCAGGTTTTAGGAAAGGATCCTCTGGTTGTTTCCCTGATTAACAGACTTTTGCAGCGTTTCGTAGCTTATTGGTGTGACGTATTCATGTAATTCAGATGCGGGTCACGTAAAATAGTTACATTGATGTGAAGTTGATGAGGATTGTGGGTGTAAAGCATGGATGGGTTCATGGAGCGAAGCGTCTGTGGGATTATTTGGTAAAATCCTCTCCTCTGTCATTTGTTCACATTAAAGGATCCTTCTGCTCACATTTGCTTTTCTCTCTGATTGGCTCTGAGTTAGGAAACGCTCCCTCAGAGCCCCGCCCTCCCATGGTGGAGACCACCCACCCACCCCAGCAGCAGGCCCCCTCCTCTGCACGCATGTTGGGATGTTTCCTCTTTGCCTCAGGCTGTCCTCCTATCCAGGGGGTGGGGGGGTAGATGGGCGGCGACAGAAAGCTGTCCCTTTGTCCGCCTCGCAGTCCCTCTGGGCGTCTACAGGAAGTTCTCAAATGTCTGCAGAGACGCAGGCGGGACCGTCTGCAGATGTTCGGTTTACAAAGAACCATCAGGAAACAAAACAAGGCAGCTGAGGTGTTTTCATTTGGATTAAACCCAAACACTTTCCCTCAGTCTTCCATAAATACTGGAGGTTCAAAGGTTTAATCCCTTTAAATAAAAGCTTTTCTTTCATCATGTGACTCCAACTCTTTGTTTTCCTCTAAAGCATCAGAAGGACCAAACGGTCCTGGTTCTGTTTGGACCCTGGTACCGATAGATGGCTGAAGTTGGACCCGATCAGACCTCAGTTCTGGTACTTAGGAAGCCAGCTTCAGTCTGAACAGAATCAGGATTCACATCAGGTTGTTCATCTCAGTGTTTTTGTGCGTTGGACTGTTTCTGAGGTTTCTGCTCTTTGTGGCTGCATCTGTCTGCCTCCATTGTCTGTGGGAGTCCATCTGCTGCCCCCCCTCCTCATCCTCACCCCTCCTGTCCCCTCTGTGACTCTGTCTCCCCCCATTCATCCTGTCTCCTCAGAGTTCAGGATTGTCATCGGAAAACTTTCTTTAAGATTTCAACAAAGAAACTAAAAGAAAAACGTAAATTTTCTTTGCGTTTTTTTCTGTTTCTGTTTAATAACTTGTTAATGATCTGGCTCAGCAGACCTCAGCGATTATAAACATCACTTAAAAACAAGCTTATAAATGGAAAAGGTTTTATCTTTTAATATGAGCTCCTGCATTCAATTAATCACTTTAATTTCACCCTTTCCTCTTTTTTTAGGAACCCTCTTGTCGCTCTATTGTCCTTTTCTATGTTTTTCCTTTTTCACAGAAACATCAAGTGACTTTTAATTGTTTAATGGGTCATTTTAGCTTTTAAAAACATCTCAAAATTGATTGATAGGCTTAAATTGAGGAAATAAACAGTCGGAAAGGAAAATTGCTCCGATTA